AAAGAATATCTTTCCATTTCTACGTGGGGCCACGTTTTGCAGGCCCAATAGGACTCCTTAGGCTCCATTTATACTTTTGTTATTCCCTGTGATAGAATGTCTTTCCATTCAAATTCTAATTTACATTTCGATTCAGGTACTCTTACTGAAGGATTTAGGGATCTCAAAATGCTAGGCAGATGCCTGGTATTGCAGACAAATTTGTGTATATTTTATGTATACAATTGATCTACATTTTAAATCAGTTTTAAAAGAGATTCTGTGGTGGAAAAATAATTAGGACTCACTGATTTAACCCAAAATCTCTCCTTCCCTTTTCTGAACGCAATTGTCTGTTCCTCTCAGTACTAGGACTAGAGAGGTGGAGGTGCCTGCTCCCCCTGCAGCTCATCCACCCACTGCTCAAGGGCCAGCCTGCCTGACACCCAGCTTGTGACAGTCCATTACATTAGCCTGGAAAAGCTGACTGTCTGGTTGAGTGCTGCCTAGTGTCTTCTGGTCCTCCTGAATAATTAGCAGTGTGCTCTGTGGTTGCAAGTTTCTTTATTCCCTGTCTCCATTGCCTTTTTTCTCCTATACCCTGCCGGCCCATCCCTATGGAACTCCTGATTTCTCTCTGCAGGGTCCTCTGCTCATTTTTGCAAATTGCTGCTACAGCATCCTAAACCTCAATAATAGCATGGGTGACACTAATGTGATTAACAGCAAATACAGTGCTTACAATGCGCTTGCCAATATACTTAATGCTTTTTGCTTCATTCGCTTGCCTTCCTGTCTGTCTTAGTTACTTTTTACTCGTTGCTGAGACAAAATACCTGATGCCCAGGTTGGGAAAGGGAAGATTTATTTCTTACAGTTTTTGGAGGTTTCAGTACACACTCAGTTGGCTCCAAGGCAGGCAAACATGGCTGGGCCGCAGTTCATGGCGGCTGCAAAAAGCAAACAGGAACCAGCAAAGAGCAAAACCCACCTTCTTCCTGCCATTACATCACATCCTGGCTCCACCCCTATGTGGGTGTAGCACTGACATCATCAATCTAAGCACTATACAATGAACCATCACAAATGCACAATGCAAACTCATGAGGCCTGGGGGACACAGACATAAACCATGACACTGCCTTACGAAGTATACTTTTTAAACAGAATTTTCTGTTCCACGGAAGCTACTTTTACTGAGAAACAACTGCATTGCAAACATTTTGTTAGTATTCACATATAATATACATAATCCTCAGGAACATACGGTGTAGACGACTTTATTCTCACATTATAGAGAAAATAGGAACAAAGAATTGAAAGCACAAATTACCCACAGTTAATCCCAGAGCTTGGAAACCTTGAGGAAGAAGGATTACCAGTATGAGTCCAGCCTGGGTAACTTCGTGACTCAAATTTGTGTCAATATAAAAAAAAATAAAAGAAATCCTAAGGATGTGGTTCAGCCTGAAGGGCCTGGGTTCAATTTCCAGTACACCCTCCAATAATCACACCAATAGTAATCTGCAGTTCGATTTCAGAGTCTGTTCTGGTGCCAGAACTAACTAGGTTAATATATTCTTAAATTCATTGTCTCATCTCCCATAGAACCTGCAGCCCTCGTGGACAGGTTTGGCCAGCCTTGGCTCTGCCTTACTTGACTATTTCCTAATACTATATTCATATACGGAGTGTTCCCCATGGTACTTGCACTTGCTTATAGATTTCAGGTGTGAATTTTTCAGTTCCTTTGTTTGTTCAACCATTGATCTATTAAGTGATTCACTTACTAGGTGCTTCTTCTAGGTCTAGCATTGTGCTAAAACAACAACAACAACAATAACAACAAAAATAAAACCAAATAAACAAACTAGGAAATTGATTCTGAGAAAGCACAGCATGGAGAAAGACATGTAAACAAACACGACACCTGTAACGGAGGTGTGGGAGCTCACATCCATGAGCAAGGATGAGCAGATAGAGATGCTTGCATTGAGACCTAACGAGTGACCCAGGAGAGGCGTGGCAAGGGAATTCGGCAGGCTTGGTATGTCCAGCAAAGCCTGGAGACAGGGCAGGGAAAGAAGAAGGCGGCACAGGGATGGGGAAGAAGATTGCTGGAGACCTGTTACAGCCTGCTAACGGATGTGGGTTTCATGCTGTGGCACAGAATATCTCCAAATAAAGCCTGCCGCTTTTCAATCATGTAGAATTTATGTTAGCAGACAGCTGAAATTGCATCTTCTACCTTTGGGGAGAGGCTGTTACTTGAGATGGCAAATTATTGCTTATACAAGGGGCTGGGGATGCAGTTCAGTAGAAGAACCTTTGGCTGGTATGGACCAGGTTCTCAATTATATCTCTGGCATTGAAAAACTGCAAAAATAATTGTGTGTGCCATTGTGTTAGCATATGTATGTAAGTATTTATGTATGAGTATAACTAACATAATAGATGGCCAGTACTTCTGAGTTGGAATTTATTAATCTCCTAACATGCACTGGTTTAACAAATGCACAGAAAGCTAACATTAAACAATATTCTACCATGTTGCAAATGTTCTTTAACTCCTCCGCTCTTACCAGCCAGCCCCAAACACTGAATGGCAGTCAAGCTGTGATACACAGGAGAAAGGCTCCTGATTCTGAATAAGGCGCAGCTCTCAGGGATCGGTGCACAGGCCACCACCTCTGCTTGGAAATTTTACCTCCTGTGATGAATTTGATCTTCACAGCGTAAATCCAATCTGCTGACTTGCTCCTATGCATTATGTCAGATTCTACTTTTGGAACTCCTCAAGAAAGTGAAATTACCAAGCAAAGTTTCAGGAACAAATGCCTTATTTCAGGTTTCCTAATAAAACCCAATGCTTGCAACATTTTGTTACATACTCATTTAAAGAAATATGCACATTTCTCTTTCACATGTTTTGGTTCATCTCAGAATTTCCTCTATGCCAGTCTCACAGCAGGCTGGGGCATTGTGCTAGTTTACCTCCCCTCATCCCATCTTCTCTGTGGGTATCCCTGCCTTGCCAAAGGCAGCATATGGCACAGCGACTCATCTGACAAAAGAAGAGGAAGATAAGATGGCAAGGATTTCTGGTGCATTCTCTCCCACATCCTTCTTTCACCCTTCACTGTGGAGATGGAGAATGAGGATATTTACACCTTGGAATGAATGAATACAAAATTCTTGCTTCTGATGTGGTCCCTTGTCTTGCAGCTCATTATTTCTTTAAACATAACTAAGTGTGGCCTGGAAACTTCATCTTTTTATACAACTTAAATACAAGGAAAAAGGCACTTGGGTATACCTAGCGTTTGATCTTAAGCTTTTGTGTAACTCCTGCCTCTCCTTGCAATAGTACAAGATAAAAGGGAACCAGCTGTTTTCTTGTTGAAGATCAAGGTAATCAGGACAGCGACTGAGGACATAACCATGATCACAGCAGGGAGAGGAGGAGGCCAGGTGATGGTTTTCTATCAGGCACAGTATGTCAGATTTGTAACTGTCAGAAAAGGGCATTGTATTTCATGCCTGTTCGTGATTTCTTTGTTGTTGTTGTTGCCAGTTTGAAATTCCTGGCACCATTCTCAGTTAATGGAATTAGGCTATTATAAGTATAAATACCTTAGCTAAGAGAATAGCTAATATTCCAGGTTCTTACTATCCACCTGCACTGTGCGTCACAATAGTAGCTTTACTATTTACCCACACAATAACATTGTGAAGCAAAATGGTGTTATTCCCATTTTATAGAGGAGGAAACTAAGACAGAAAGGTTAAGTAACTTGCCTGGATCATCCATCTCTTAAACCTTAGAGGATTTGGGATTTAAATCTAAATAGCCACTGTTAAGATGAGGAAGAGGGGCACAAAATTTAAGCAAGAACTCTTCAACCTTGTGCATGTGAAGGATCACACCTGTGCACGAGTGCTTCCTTAAATCACAGCCTAGTTCCAGCTTGCTGTGCAGCCTAGGGCTTTAGACCTTGTCTGTCCTGCCAGTCTGAGTCTTTCTGCTATAGAGTCAGCAGCCTTCAATGGGGAAGCAGATTGAAAAGTCCCAGAAAGCCTACACAGGAACTGAAGAGAGCAACAGAGCCAGAGCCCAAAGCAAGTAGCTTTCCTAGGGTACAACGAACCCTCTACTTGCACAATGCATTCTCTCCCATTTTGCTCATGTGTAGATTTGTCTCCCTCCATCCTCCTACAGTTTGGAGAAGAAAGAGGATACCTCTTACTGAGAGGCAAATCTCTGTATCCCACAGAGAAAATACTAGATCTTCACAGAACAGGATGCATATTTAGGCCTGCTTGCTTTGATGTGTCTTATTTTCCTATTGCCAAGTTAATAAATACCCTGAGGTGCACGTTGGACACAAATAGATCCCAAAGGCACATAGACTCTTGGGGTCTCAGAAAAGAAAGGGAAGTCAAACTGCCTTAGAGAATGGGAGAAGAGGAGGAGAATCCAAGGTCTCAGGCCATTAGGGGAGAAGTGTCCTAGTTTGTACTCTTAAGATCTTTTGGAAGACCAAGCAGATTTTGAGTGGGACAAGACTTTTCTCAGTTACTTATTGGCAAAATAATCACTATGTCACTAAGATACAGAGTTCTTTTGTTCAGTCTCAGTCAAACACTTTGAGGCCACAGGGCTCATGTGCTTACAAGGTGGGGTTCCCTCTGCTGCCCTTCGGTGACCATCTTGCCCTTCTCTTGAGAGACTACACTGGACAGTATATACTCACAATCTCATGGGAAGCTTCATGTGGAGGAGCAGGAGTAGTTGGAGTCATGGAGGATGAAGAACAGTGACTGTGATGACCTGGTAGCTTTGAACTCAGCATCATAGTAGAAAACATCCTGGTGGTGACACCTGAGAGGACTGACTGGCAATGGTTTCCCCTCCATTGGGGGTTTCATGCCAGTGGGACTGTGTAGAAGGGCCCCAGCAAAGCACAAGGCAAGAAAGGCTAAGCGGAAGGGAGTACTGGGTTAAAGGAAACATCACTTGCCTCTTTGATCAGGTTCATAAATCGGGGTCCCAGGCGCCAGGGCTTGTGTCGATGGCACTGCAGGGAGCTGACGGTCAGCTGTGAGGCCCGGTGGGAGGCGATGGCCACCATGTACACAGCGTCGTACATCAGAGCAGCTTCTGTCTGCGGAGAAAAGCACACACCACGTCTTCAGTCTTCGCTTACTTTCCTTTATCTGCAAGGTCACAATCTCTGCTTCCGAAGACCATTTTTCCCTCCAGCTGGACAGTTTTCATTCCCCAGAGACTACTTTTTTCCAAAATAATATCTTATGCTGTAGAGTAAACTGAAATCATATCTCTGTTTCATTTTGAGTTCTTCAAAAAAGCAACCAGATAAACCATGGAAGACCTGATTCAGGAAACAAGTATTTCTGGAGTGTCTTGTTAAGTGTGGCGCTATGATTAACTACACTGATCAAGAACCTACTAAAGCTCACTATTTCCATATCAGATTTTGCCTTTTACCATTTATTTACATTTATTTAATTATTGCTTTATATTTGGTAAAAAGAAACTCCTGGAAATAAAACTAAAAGATGCTTTACAGTTAAAGGTATTTGTGTTGGTCACTTCCACTTTCCTGAATTGAAGGTTATAATCATGAAATCAAGGTCAAGGGCAGCTTTGAGGAGCCAGATTTACAGAGGAGAATACACCCACCCATGACAGAGATTCAAAGCAGTCAGTCTTCTTTTGGTTGGGTATCTCTTTCTCCCTTTCCTCATAAAATTCTTTTCATTTGCAAGACTTTACATAATACTTAGAGCAATTTATAAAACATACTGCCCTGTGGCTTGCTTTGAGAATAAATCTTATAATACCTTCACATTTTACTGGAGGGCTTTCATTGCAACTTTAAATATATTAGCTCATTTGAAATTTCCATAACTCTTCAAAATAAGCAGAACTGAGAGATAAAGCTTCTTATGTGAAAAAACTGACCTCTATGCAAGACACTGATTCATGAAGGGTCATAGTATATAAGTGATTAGTGCTAGAGTTAAACCTAGAATCTAAATTACTGAATGACAATTTATTATATAGGTTTTCTGCATTCAGTTTAGTCATTCATTATTTACTATGCATCGATTATATCTTGATGGAGGCAGAAAGGGAGCTTGGAGCTACTACATTTTGCCTTGTACTAGTATTTGAAGCCAGGGAATACTTGTGCAATTTGAATGCTTTTAATTTTATGCAACCTCTGTCATTGCATTTTGCATATCATTATGGTCATTTGCTTTTGTATTTGTTTACTGATAAAAATATGACTATTTTGAAGGCAGAAACTACTTGAATATGACCTTTGATTCCTTCCACAGTGCTTGGTGCACAAAAGTTATTTGAAGGAACATTTATGGAATGCATTAATATTACTTCATGCCTTAAAATTAAGTGTATTTTTCTGGAGAACTGCATAATCCCAAGGTTTTGGGATACATAATTTCACTCTTATAATGGACATACAGAAGTCAGACTGGAGGTGGCGGTGATAGTGTTTGCTAAAGCATGGAAATGTTTTAAGATGATATTATCCGTCTTGTAAATGAGAAAATTAAGATTTATGGAAATTGAGGTACTGGGATAAACTACTCTGCCAATCAGCTACATAGCAAGGTTGTAAAACTATGTCTTTATCATTCTACTCTGATGTTCTTCACCCATTATTTTATACAAATTTGGTTTAATTTAGAGCGAGTAAATAACTTGTAAATTGAGATATTTTTGTAAATGCAATCAGAAGTATTAGCTAATGTTTACTAGTTATGAAATGTCAAGTCTTGTTCTCAATCTTTGAAAACATTGAATTTTCACCTTCATGTTTGCTCCTTTATGGAAAAGAGTAAGTGATTAAATGATGTCTTTAATAGTGGAAAGCATTTGAACTCTGGAAGTTGGCACTAGAGGCTATGCTCTTAGCCCTAAATTGTGCTTTAGAATCATGTTACTGTACTTATCCAATGACTTAGTAGTCATACTCAGTGATTGTTAAAATATTCACTGACAATTTACTGCATACTAACACTGTTTCATGTGGGTCATTTTCTGTTGTTGAAACTAAATTTTTGAAATATGTACCGCCCTCATTTTATAGACAGGGAAACTGAGGCTTGGAGAGACAGAATAACTTGTTAAAATTATGTCACCAATAAAGGAAAGGAATGAGAATTTCTACTCAGGATGCAAGCTCAGATTTCAGAGCTCACTGCTGTAGTCACAATGATAACCTGGGACTTTTAGGCAGTCAAATATACTGAGTTTTTTATATATGAATTTGTATTTATGCAGTCTTTTCTTGGTAGCTAATGGGAATGGTTCTAGGATATCACTCAGATATCAAAATCTGAGGATGCTCAAGTCTCTAACAAAATGGCACAGTGAGGGCATGTAACTATGCACACTCTTTTGTCGCCTTTAAATCAACTCTAGATAATTTAATTTATAATACTGAATGCTATGTGAATAGTTGTTGTACTATTTTGCATAAGGAATAATGAAAAGAAAACTCTATGCATGTTGAATACAAATGAAATCTTTCTTCTTGAGCGTGTTTGATGCTTGATCGGCTGAATTCACATGTGCGAGCCCATGGATAAGGAGGCCCAAATGTTTCAGGAGTTCACTGGTGACTGGTGTGGTGGAGAAATGTAGAGAGTTGAATTCTAGTGATCTGCATTTTTCATAAACTTAAGTGAAAGAGGAATTTAATTTTTTTTCTCTAGGCTGCATCCATAACTAAATATTTCAAAACTGTAAATCTGATTAGTGGTTTCCAAATCTGAAGAAAAGAAACACTTACTCTAAAAACGTGCTCCCCTTTAACGTAGAATTTTTTTTCAGATAGGCAAACATTCACTCCCTTTTTATAGCACTAATAAAAGATCCCATTGCCTTTTCTCTCCCTTTCACTTTTGTCCTGGAGGGCTGCATACTGAACAACATCTCTGATTTTCCATTTTTGTAAATAGATAATGTAATAGAAATTGGCCTAGGTTTTAAATTTTGTTCTTCCAAATGTGTTTATGTTCACATTTTATATATATCCATTGAAATCCTGGATGAAATCACATCGCTCAGTGTCCCTAAGAAAATCTTTGTACCACCATCTGGATCATGAAATAAGCATATGGAGAGCTGGCTGTTCACCAGCGCACATTATTTTGATTATTACAACAATGTGTACTAAAGAGTCAGCTCAGTGGGCTTGACGTTCTCAAATCATACACATTCTGAAGAAAGGACTAGCCCTTAACTAGATCCTGGGGGACAGTATTTAATCTCTGAAGCTATACTGTCTGACAATATTGTCTTCATATTCTTGTGGTCTTGGACACGTCAGACAATTTATGCCAATGATGTGATTTTGTTGAACAAAGCACTGCACCATGTTGTATCATCTTGACCTCTGGAAGGGTTGGAGAATAACTTGGTTCTGTTATGCTTGTGTTCTGTCCCAAGGCACTGGCCTCTATCTAGCCTGGACATTGCTTTCTCACTTAATTGCTGAGGATTAAGCACTTTATATGTAACATCCCCCAGGGAAAAAAAACCAAATGGTGCCAAATGCCTAGTTTCTCCCACTCTGGACACTTCCCTTTGTGTTGTTTCTCATGACTTGATTTTACTCGTTATTTGTTACTGTAATAAACTGTCACTGTGAGGAGAACAACTTTTCTGAGTCCCATCAGTCCCTTGAGCAAATCACCAAATCCAAGATTGGCTTGGGAATCCCAGCACAAACCAGTGAGAAGCCACCTCGCCTTAGCAACAAGATCTACACAGCTCCAGTGTCTCTGTACTTTACCACCTTCCCTGTTTGTAATTATTGTTAAGAAACAGACTGTTGGAAAAACCTGGAGGGAACTGAGGTGCTGCAGAGGGAACTAATGTTTGGAGCACAAATGCATAAGATGAGTAGGCTTCTCTCCAAATTTGAAAACATTTACTAACCTGATGGTGATGGACAAAGCAATGTTGTGAGAGAAGTATTCCCAAATAATACCATTTCTCCCTGATTTCCTGGCTGCTTCTCTAGCTTGGTATTGTTTCCTTTTAAAATCCAAAATATCTCACTCACTCTAAAGAGCAAGCAAGAATTTTCCACTTAATATGGATTAGCCAGTTTTCCTCTTTTCTGAGGCTTGTCTCAGGGAAGCAGGGAGGATATTGGCAAGGGGCCGGAAGGACAGCACTTATCCTGGGAGAGCCCCGCTGTGGAGGACAGGTGGGTGACTAGGAATGCTGCCAGGAAGCCAGAGCAGCAGAGGAGGCACTGCTCTTCCTCAGCACCTCAGCACCCGGGAGTTGGAGGAGCCACCCACAAGTGACAGAGACTTGGGAATGGGTTTGTGGAGGTGGCAAAGAGACCAGCACACACTCACAGTCTAGAAACTTAGTAATTAGGACAATAGCCTCAGCAGGCCCATCGAGACTTGGCAGAGAGGCTGGCGTCACTTGAGTCTCAATGAATAATTACTGGCTTTTGAAAGAAATGGTGAAAAGTAGGGAGGGGTGATTTTACACGGAGCAAGAAAACACATTTGTGTGGGTCCACGGGTCATATAAGGTCACACAGGTGCCAGGAAAAGGGCCAGCTTGAGAGACTGGTACAATACAAGGAACTTACAAAATGTCCTTTCTCTTTAATAAATTACAAATTGGTGAAACAGCCACAAAAGTAAACTCATTTCTATGCCCTGGAAGTTTTGCATGTGTTTTGTGATTTAATCAGCGGAATGACAATGCAAAGTATTACTACACAGATGCGTAGAGCCACAAACAGGTTCAGAGAGGCCCAGTAACTTGCTGAGGTCACTTTGCCAGTAGACACAGCCAGGACCTGGGAGGACCTTGTTTCTCCTATTAATCCAGTTGCCTATGGCCTTTTTATCACAGAGCAGCAGTGGAAACCCAGGGAGGTTTTCCACAGATGTTCTCCTTGAGAACAATTATTATAAGGCATGTTACACGTGAGAGTGCAGGTCAAACCTACTGACAACGTCACACTGAGAATGCACTAAGCGATTGGAAAGGCAGATGACAGTTCAGTGGTCTATTACTTCTGCAGTCCCTATGTGCTACTTTACTGTAAACCGTTCTGGTCCACACCCAGAGAGGACTCCATCTGAGAAGGAGCCAGTCCATTACTGCTGCCTTTGCAAATGCCAATGGACTGAACTAGCCCAAGTGCTTGGGAAAACTTAAAAGTGGTGAAGAGAAATGAAACAGGATTTATAACAGTTGCTCCAAAGATCTGATGCATTAATTGGCACTCGAGTTAATAAGATGCCTCTTTTACAATCATAAGATATCTTTAACAGTGAATTTTAATGCTTTTGAACTCTAAAGATTCAGTAACAGTTTCCTTAACTCAATTTTAGCTCTATTTTTAAAGTTAATATACTTTTCTTTAATTAAATCTAGAGTGAAGATTTTTTAAACTTGTGTGATGACTGACTTTTATTTTCATATTTGAATGTGTTTTGACATATAGCAATACTCTTTGAGAATTTTTTGTGTAGGAAATTCTGAGATATTTTGAAGTGTTAAAGTACTAAAGAGGAAAGCAGAGATGTAGGTGAGAAGCCAATACATAGGTTTCTGCTATATTATTTTTAAACTTTCTATGTAATATGTATGCATATGTAGACATCTATAAATGTAGGTGGCACATAAACAATATGACTATAAAGAGCTACAGGTAATTTTATCTTGGAAAATAGTGGAATATATATGATATTAGGGAATGCAATTCTCTTATAGTAAGTCATTGTTTATAATTGTGGTAATGGCATTAATACTGGTTAGAAGATGCCAAATTTTAAAAATAAACATCACTTTAGGATAACTTCCGTCTTTGTTAATCATGCATATTTTTTATTTATTGGGACTTTTTTGGACTTTCATGTTTATTTCAGGTCATTGATATTTTTTATTTAATATGTTGTTTCTCAGTAGAATCTTAATTGCGTGTACTTAGTGCCTTTTATTAATAGCTTATTTATCTTAAGGCCTGTTTCATGCCAGGCCTTCCTAGTGCTAGGATAGAGCAGTGCACAAAGGAGCAAAGTACTTGTTTTCCATAGAGTTTATATTCTGGTAGGGGAAGGCACCGAACCAACAAATCAAAACATAGTGTACGAGGTTTTTAAGAGAGGAGGCCACCATGATTAATGGTTCAGAGGAAGCCTCTCTGGTGAGTTGAAAGCAGTAGTTTCTATGCAGCAACAACATAAGTTAAGAGCGAGGATTTCTTAGCTCTGACCTGGACTTGGCGCAATGATTGGTCCATTGGATGTTCTTATGCAAGCCCTGTCATTTTCTCTACAACTCAGATTCCCTATGCTTAACTCAGCCATAACCAGGAGAAACAGAAAGAAAAGCACACGTGAATGCAGTCTTTGGACAAAGAATATTTAATACTATGCTTCCCATAATCAGTTTCAAGGCTATCTCTGAAAGGATCCAATTGGAAGTAGATGCAAGGCTCTGTCACATTTTTTTGACTAATATTATCATGAACTGCCACAATCATTCTATGACTTTTAGAGCACTCTGGTGAACAGCCTTCTTCTGGTCTAGTAAGCTATCATTTCCCTTTTTTATAGTTTGTAAACAGCAGTGATAACAATAAGAACACAGCCTTGAATCCCTTCTCTTAGGCTGTATGACTATGCAAAACCAGGTGTCATCTGTCTCGGGGGACTCAGGTCTACCAGCAGCCCAGGACAAAGACTGTGCCCTGGGTCAGCAGTGTTCCTTATGGCTAACCTGAGTCTAGGTGAATTGTACTGTTCTATCTCCATTGCTCTGTGGTCTTCCCTGATCTCAGGAAGACCTCAGGAATATGTGCAAACCTTTCAACCAGCTCGATACAATGGAACATGCATATATATATATATATATATATATATATATATGTATATATATACATATAAGCTCCTTTAGTATAAATCCTCTGGTATACATCCCAAAAGCAAATGAAAATTACTTGAAAGCTCAGCTTGTGGTAGAAATACTGAAGGAAGGCAGAGTAGTCAGAGGATTTTGAACCATACTTATATTTCAAACAATTACAAATCCAAGTGGTATGAGAGAGAGACTGACAGAGTGCCTCTCTCCTTCTCTTTCTCTTTGGTGTTCCCCTCACTTTCAAGGGTCTTGTGTTTGCCTTGATATTTCCTTCTTGATCTTATCCAAAGCAATGTTTAAATCACCCCAAGGCCCACCTGTACCAAAATGCCTTCCATCATTATCTCTCAGATCACTGTGCATTTTAAGTGTTGTCTCAGGTTTGAAAAAGTCAGAAACCCTGAACACAGATTCATTCAGAACAACTCAATTCATTCACTTATGTCCTCTTTTCATTTGCTCCTTATAGGAAAAAGGGGAAAAAATACATCCCAAGCTTGTTTTTCAGTAAGATGATGCCTTTCAGTTATCAGTTATCGGCAAATTGCATCTTAAAAGCAAGAGTGCTTCTCTGGATGGTGGGAACAGAGAGTGAGACAGTATGCCAATTTACAGTGCTATTACCTGCTTGTTCTCCCAATAGCTTTTCGCTTAGATGCTACTGTTCTTACATAGAGAACATCTTTTTTATTATTTCCTGCTATTTTCGCTATCACCCAAGGAGCTTCATTAGAGAAATAAAGCAAGACTAGGTACATTTGACAACAAGAGACAAATGATGCTGGTGAGGAGTCCTCTAATGAGGCAGCTTGCAGTTTCTCTGTTCAGTAGAGTACCTCTGACTTGCAAGGAGACAGACCTGGCATCTGCTTCCAGAGCGACATATGGCTGGTGTTAGGCACCATCAGTGTCTGAAGAGGGGGTGCCTGTGCCACTCCGGGACAGGGAGAATGTGAAGGTGCAGACTGGATGAAATCTGGCATTTCCCCACACCTACCTGGTTCCACTTGTGAGCTGTGGCAGAATCAAGGAAAGCAAACTGGTCCTGCGAGATTCGCAAGGGCAGGTTGCTCCTCTTCTTTCCCTGCCCCTCCGGAAACCCCATTTCCAACCGTAAAAATTCGTTCCTTTTGGCCCTGCTCCACTTATTCTTTCTTCTGGATTGATTGGTGGTGGTGGCTACGTTGCCCCTTTCTTTATCTTCCATTAGCACAATCAGGTGACTAAAAATTACAGCCTTTGATAATAACCAGGCATTGTCTTTCAAAATACTGGTCAAGCTTATTCCTTTTTCTCTTTTACAAATCATGATGCATGTTAAATTACCTTTTCCTCACAGCACAGAGAATGTATGCAATTCTTAACCGAGACTCTCTGGGACATTCACACAGTAGGTCAAATGACTTCATTTTAAAGCTACTTACGGTCATCATGCCGTCCAAAAGACCAGTCTCCGGCCTGGGTGGGGCCTGCAGCCTCTCCATGGACCACTTCTCGATGATGGATGACACATGAGGGTTGTCAATGTTGAGTAGCCGGAACCCAGTCATGTTCACCCCACTGTACCTGTAGAGTTCCAGGTCTAGAGCAAATAAGTCCTGAGCGGTAATACAAATGATAAAAATAGATGCGGCTTAGCATTTCAGTGTTTGGATGCAAACTATGTGTATAAAAGTATTTCTAGTTGTTTCCATTCCCATTGCTACCTGAGAAACTAAGGCAGTAAATGATTTTCATGTTTTGTAAAACTATTATTTGGGTACATCAAGAAGAAGTTGGCTTCCAATAATTAGTAAACCTATGGGGATAAGAGATGACCTTCTGAGAGGTAATGATTCTCTTCCTAGGATATAGTCTTTGGGAGTTGGAAGGAATCTACATACATTTGGTTCAATGCTTTTACTTTACAGATGACAAGAGTAAAGTCCTTTGTGATTAAATGTCAAGGCCAAGAATAAACCATAGGTCATTTACACTGTCTTCCCTCTCTGTATCATCTCCATGCTACTGGGCTTTACTATGGAGTTGAAATTTGTAATTGCATTTGTATGTATACTGACAGGAGGGTCACTCCTGACAGGAAACAATATTGTCCCTTTTGCTTTTTGAAAATAACTCACTTTCCTTACAATGAAGACATAAGAAATGTTCACTAGGAATGTGTTCAGAATTCAGGGGATATACTAGGTCACATGATCAGGTTGGGCTGAGAACATCTTAGCAATCAAACTCATTCTCTTTCAGACAATGTTTCAGGGAAAAAAATTGACCCATCCCAGAGTTTCCTACGACAGATAAGCCTGGATGAAAACACAAAGTCTGTAAGTGAATTCACAATGCCCTGCGTTGCTTCCCTCAACCTAGATAACTTTTGGACAATGTGGTAAAACCGTAGAAAGCAGCTGTGTTTTTTAAATTCAATACCAGAATTCTTACAGCCTTTTAAAGAGTTACATATACTTCTCCTTTGTACTAAGTAACTAGTTATTTTTAAAATGTTGTTTTTACTTAGACACAAGAATTGTAACAGTATAAAAGTGATGTAGGAAAGAATGTGGGTATAACTGTAGGAAAACACTTAAAGCAAATTTAAAGATTAAGACCCAATAAAGAATAATTCCATCATCATTAGTCCAATAACTTTTGATCAACTTTTGCTCTCAATAAGCAGGGTAAAATTTCCTCAAACTACACAGATAATTCACAAAGCTTCCAGTGTACATATATAATCCCATAATATGTAAATTTAGCACCCTAAAATGAATACATTAATCATCTGAAAAGTACAACTGTCCTCAAATTTGAAAGTTCAATGGAAAGCAGGATATGGGCAATTTAGGGTCTGATTGGTGACATGCCAGGGTGAGAAAAGCAAGAGGGAAGGGTTGATAAGAGCAAAAAGTATGCAATGTATTAATCCCCAAGAACATCCTTTGACAGTATTTCTATTTCTGCTCTTCATGGTTTTCTTAAACTGTTTCAAAACCACCTCTTCTAAGTGGGCACAGGTGGGGTTGGTAGAAAAGTGAGGGACAATGGCCACGTCACCACACACAAAGTCCTGATGTTCATGGTGTGAAGGAAGGGCCACGTGTGGAAGCAGAATGAGACATTTAATAGCCCCCAAGTTCTCTCTTGACTATCCTTTTTTCCTTCCTGTGTCAAATAATTATTAAAAACTTTTATAACATTTTTCTATTAGTATGTTCCTAATACGTAGTTACTACATTTATTGTGGGGAGTTGATACACAACTTTGTATCTTTTTTCTTTTCTCCTTCTTCTTTCCTGAAATGGGGACATCTTTTTCAAATGGAAAGAGTAGCAAGATATGGAGTGGGGGAAGGAAAGGAAAATGATATCTTTTACAAAAAATAGCAAATAAAAAGAAAAGAATGAAAACAGATCCTTCAGCTGCTGTGAAACAGGAAGCACAGTTACAGAGAGGAGACAGGCAGAGGATCATGGAAACCTCAGTTTGGGAAATTCCACCTTGTACCCCACTTTCCTATGATTGTGACATCTGCCCTTCAACTCATGATGCCCCCACCACCCGTTTATGCTCTCTCTCGGGGGCACTGCAATTAGAAACGAAACTTACTACTTTTGTGAGTAGTAACAGTGTGATAGTTCTTTGGTCCTTGCTACAAATTCCTCGATTTCCCCCCTCACCAGCTTAGCTTGTCAACTTTATTTACTCAAATAGTGCATTTATTGAATTCTCCAAGAATTTGGGTAGATATTACTTAAAACACTCTTATAGATTAGAGAAGGAGGCCGACTCAGAGTTTTCTTCTCATGTAAAGATGGAATGTGTGAGAGTCGGGGGGGAATAGGCAATGTATTTTGTGGTTGATTTGTGAAAAATGCCTGGATGACAACTGTCACATCATTTTGGCTTATTAATGCTTTATGTAATTCTCTCTTGATGGGATAATATCTTAGAATTTAAGGCATCAGAGTTTCTCCTGTATTTTGTGAGTTTAGAACCACAAGTAATGTGCAATATTGTGCACAAATTTTGCACAATAATGGTGCAAAAATATTTGATGTTCAGAGTGTCTCCCAAAATCCTGTTCTTGACAGATTCCAAGCACCCATCAAATGATTCTTGGATGAACCCAGCTGTCCCTGGCCACGGGACAGGCCTGTCCCTGGAAGGAAAACTGTATCAGATCCAAGAAGGCCAAGGCACACTTCAATGCACTTTCTAAGGCTTATAGACATTGTAGATGGTGCTTGTGTATGAGTAGTTTGTGCTCTGATAATTTCAGTTCAGTGGGATCTCATCCATTTCTGGATGTATGCATATTGATTCCAGCAGGAAAAAAGAAAGAGAGAGGGAGAGAGAGACACTTTCTGTTCAGTATTGCTCGTTTTAAAAGATTTTTATGAAAGTTATGCAAATCTCTGTGATAATATCCTGTTGGCTTTGAAATCTCTGGAGATACTTCCTCTCCTGTGGAATACATTTCTACTCCGGTGTGCTTACCAAGGTTGTGAAAAAGTAGTGGTAGTATTCAGTCATCATGCCCATGAACAGAATCTGCAAAAGAGAAATAAAGGGGGAAGAATTAGAATTACAATAACCAATCGTTACTATAGTAAGGCCACTGCAAAAACTTGGGAAGATAGAACCAGAAAGGGTTTTACAAAGCTGCGGACTCAACAGATCAGAGAGTTGAGGCCAATTAGTGGCTGGTGTGCAGCAAGGCCGTTGACCTCCGTCCCACCTTGTTATGATACTGTGTTTGGCTTACATGGTGTAATCCACCTAATGATCCAATTTGAAAATAGTCAACACATTTTATATTTATAGTTGTCCATAAAAGCACAGGGCTCTGTCTTTCTCATTGCCTAGGTTTCTAAACAATTCTGTTTAAAAATACACCTTATTATTTCTTAGTCTGGTAACTTAGCGTGTCTCCCTCAGAGTAGGGCTCATTAAAAGCTGAAACAGCGTGGCTAATATATAGGTATATTTAAATGAGGATTTATTAGTAAGCATATCTCTGAGACCTGAAGTTTTTCTCTACTCCTTTCCCATCTTATCCTACAAAGAGTAGAGGAAGAAAGATCATTTAAGAAGGAAGCATATCGACCATTCTTGTACCAATTTCACAAGCTATTCTGATTCTGAGTTACCTCAGTTGTGATACTGAGAGGTCTAAAGATTTTTTTGTGTGTATATATTATCTTTATTTAGTGAGAGAGAAGAGAAGGACTAGAAAGAGCAGGAGTATAAATAGAGATCATTCATTAAACTGTGCTCTTATTTCTGACTACTGTAAATGGTATCAATACAGCAGAAAGAAGTTGCAAATGGTTCTCTACATCTTCTAAATAACAATATCCCCTTTCTTGTGGCAGCTTACCAGAAAGACTACTTAACTTCTGCCTTTTGGCCTTTGTATATAAGTGAATGAAGACTTTAAATTTCTAAAGCAGTTTTCCCACAATTCTAGTCAACTCCAGGTATAAGTTAGAAACTCTTTTGGGAATTTTCCTATCAGGTGTTCTAAGGCTTGATTACAAAGACATTCTGAACTGAAATGTCTGAATGGGGAGCCTGCAACAGTTGAGAATCTCTGTTGTATGCACTTTTAAAACTTAGATTGAAGAAATAGATTGAAATATCTGGGGGAATGAAAACAGAACATTATCAGAGGTCCTAGAAATTACGTAAAAAATGCAAACTAGAATGATTTCACATGAAAACAGATAAGGAAAGAAGAGGATACTCAGTAACAGCACATAAGGAAGCATGAACACTAATCAACACTTAACATCATCTCTACTTGCACGGGAACCAGAGGAATATTTAGGGAAATTGTCCTGTCTTGCAAGGAAGACAAATGGTACAAAACTCTCAGCATGAATCATGAGCCAATAGCATGCAGGTTTCTCCTATGATTACAAGAAGGCCAGGAACGCAAAAAGATTTAAAAGGCAGACTTGCTTTGGACCATCAATAACATTTAAAGTCATGCTTGGTAAGGTCTTGTTAGCTGGTTGTGTATCACTCACCCATATAGAGCTGGTCATTCAAGGTCAGCCAGGAATCTAATTTTTCATTTTAGTCATTAGTGAGTGTGATTGCAGCCTGGGCAACTACCATTTTGAAAAGACTCACTTAAGTCCTATGTTAAGTTATAGAGACAGACACTAAGATTTAAAATAGTGTTTCTGGAATTAAAAGCGATGTGCAAAAGCACCTGAGTTACAGCTTTCACATGGACGGTTTTCTTTCAAGACTTCCTTATGGAAACTTCAGATTCCTTGTTGAGAGCATACGTACTTTTGAAAAGCAGTCATTCAACTCATTATTTTTATTACTATTTTCATAATTCCTGGAGGCAAATATTCATTTGATATTCCTCTTATGGAATGTTTGAAATGAGATTTGAAAATTCAGTGAATAAGCACCGAAGGTTTTATTGCAGAAGGAGCCCTCCAGATAACTATTTTTACTTGCTACACCAGAAAAATTTTTGTTCTCTCACCTAGTCGTCGCTTAGGTCAGTACATCCTACTTCTCCCCTGATTTTCCTAAAAATAGAAATCAAGAAACAAATGCAGTCATTGATCATTTTCCTGTCAACTTTGTGGATACCCTAGGACCAGGAGAATGAAAGATTTCTAGACAAGAGAACTACAAAACCAGCAGCACAAAAGGTGTTGCTTTTAAAATTGTCCTTGCAGTGCTCTGTAAGGTGGAGGGGACCCACAGTCCTGTCTTCTGACAGCAGCATATTCTGTAAATGAATGTACTGCATTCGCATTATGATTTTCTCCGAGTGTTGATATTTCAACTAAAAGTCATTAAGGGATTAAGAAAATGTCACACCAGAATAAATGTCAGTTCTAAAAATAAAAAAGTTACAATCATGATACGGAAGGTTTTCTAATAGTTCTTTGCAAAGCTGACTCTTTCCCAAGACTACTCTCCTTGAATTTCACTGCTGTGTTTGTGCATGCAACTGACTGGGCAGTGATGACATGGGCAGTGTATATACCTGCCTAGCATTGCCCGGAACTGCTTTTGGTACTGTCTAAGTAACTTTTGATGGCACAAAACATACCATATCACATGCACTATTGTGTAATAAATGCAGCTGTCAATACACTTCTTATAAACAGCATATTCCTTTTAACTGTTTTCACTAATATATTCCTCTAACAATGCTAGCTTCCTAAAAGGATCAGTACTGTCAAATAATTTTAATATCCTATCAAGGATTTAGATTGTTAGTAAAAAGCAGATTTCTTTAGTAGTATTTATATATTTAAAATAGATATAGCACTTTTTATTTACTATTATTGATTTTGGAAGATCCCTGTGTGAATATCATTTGTAGTGATCATCAATTTTCCAATCTGGAGGGCACAGGATAAGATATATTACCTGACCTTCTGTGCTTCTTTGGGTTCCTGTGTGGGGGCTTGTGGGCAAAGTGAGAAAGATGCTGGAATTTATGGCTTTGCTCTCCCTGGAATACCAATGGCGTGATCATTGGTGCCAGAGGAAGCTTTTCTTCTGCATGTGGACATTTTTCTGTTCCATATGTACCAGCAGTTGTGTGAGTGATATTGTTTACAACTCTGTTTTGATTGCCACAAAGGTTACGGTCACAATGATGGCTTCTTCATGACCAACTGCTGAGGGACATTGGGTGTCTCTCAGCACCCCACATTCCTTTTAATGATATTTATCAAAGTATTCCATTAACATATCCAAGTATTTTGCAAAGCATGGGCATTATTTTAATCTGACCATTTCCTAGAAAACAAGGCAGTACTATGGAAATGGCAATAACAATAACAAAAATTTATACCCCTCAAACAGTCAGCACCCATTGTTCAGAGCATTCCACATGTCGGAGATAATCGATATTATATTGCTTTTGTAGTGCAAAACTCAAAGAGGAACTTAGTGTTTTCCTGAGCAATTTTGAAGTGCCCTTGTAATATTTATATGTGCTCTTATTACTGCTTTTTCCATTGAAAAATAGATGTCTTCGAAATTTATATTGACTAGCCCAAAGTGTATTGCTTCTTTTATAGCCTTCTTGATATAAGGATAAATTCTAAACCATAAGACATAGTTTCAAGTCAATAATTTCAAAAGAATAACTTCTAGAGGTGTAACACGCAATGCAGCTAAAATCATAGTTTGATCACCTGATAGAAATGAATTCTTCTAGCATAAGAATTTCCAGGAAGCCAGTTGAATGCTTTCAAGTCTCAGAGCAGTAATTTTAAGAAGCAGCTCTGAGTTTCAGGACACACCTCTTTTTCATTTGCCAGCTGTGGTGTTTGTGACTGTCCTCACACTACCTTCTCAATGGGGTACTTCTTGGGCCATACAGTTTTAAATACTGATCATCAGTAGAACAAGCTAGGCAGAAGTGGATCTGCAAGTTCATCTTTTTCGCCCTTAAAATTATGCCATATTGAATAAATTTATGTCCCCAAAGGAACAGTGTATTGTAGAGAAAATATGATTAAACCTCAGAAACACTGAAGTATAGAAAAACAATCCAATCCTTCACGATGTACAATGAACGGAAGGCTCCTGAAGATGTCTATATACCAACTTCCGGACCTGATAATACGTTGGATATCTTGGCAAAGATTCTTTTTTGATATGATTAAATGACAGATTTTTGAGGTGGGGCAATTGCCCTGAATTATCGGGTGGACCCAAAGTAATCACAAAGCTCTTTATAAAAGGATCAGGTGGAGAGAAAGAGATGTGAAAATGGAAGCACAGGAGAAGGAACGAAATATGCATCCCCAAGTCATAAAATAAGAGCAGCTTTAGGAGCTGCAGAGGTTAGAAACTGGAATCTTCCCCAGGTCTCCAGAAGGAAAGCTCTCCTGTCAGTACCTTCACTTTAGATTTCTGACTTCCAGAATTGTAAAATACACACATTTTATGATTTTGAGGCACCATATTTGTGATAATTTGCTATGGTAGCAATAGGAAAACAATGCACCCCCTCTTCACATCTCTCCATGGCTGGGGTGCAAGAGAATGTTCAACCTTAGTATATTAACATCAAATGCGTGAGTCAGTAGGAAAAATTACTTTCATTGTTGTTCAGGGTTGACACATTTCTAAACACTGCATCCTTTACCTGTGTATATTAACCATATGTGTGTAAAACATATAAGTTAAAGGAAAGAAAGTTAGGGATTTTCTTTTCATTTAAAGACAGTGATGTACTGCCCATTTTGTCCTGTCCCCATGTTAAGTCATAGAAAATCAAAAGGCATTCCATAGTGAACTGGTGAGTAGAATCACTGTACTGCTTGAAGATGTCCTTCAGTCTTCTGTATAAGTTCTTTCTCTGGAGGTGTGCCCTGAGGGGCAGTGATACTAATTGGTATTCACAAATGGAGTGGAGAACACAGAGGTCCAGTTTATCTGCAGATGATCCTCTTAGAAGAGCCAGATTGTGCTCCTTAAAGAGTAATAACTGTTGATAACAAAGGAAGAAAAAACAAGATTTTCCATAGCAGGATGAAGTAGGCAAATAACAG